GCCCCTGTACAGAGTTTTGCCAGGGCAGCCTCAGGATGGCTGAGGTGGGCTGAGACTCGGGTGGGAGTGGCCTCAGCGGCACACGGTGTGGCAGGAGCGGGTGGAGGAGGAGACCAGGAAGGAGGTCGCGTGCTACTTGCCAATTTATCCAGCATTTCAGAAAACAGCTCCTTGCCGGCCGAGTCAAAAATGAAGAGCTCCTGCAATCAGAAAGCAAGTCCCAGCGAGGGGCACGAGGGAAACCATGGGCCTCGAGCACTGCTGCCACTCTGTCACCCCGTCACCGCAGGGTGGGCTTGGTGGCGAAGTGCACGTACCCACTGCACACACGTTTCATACACGCTTTCCCGGGGCGCCAGAGAGAAACGGGGAGAAGGGACTCCAGAGCCCCCGGGAGGCAGCGGCAGGTCCCCACCCCACCCATATGGTCTGCAGGGAGCCTCAGCCCTCCTGACCCGAGTGCAGAAATACAGGGCACAGGCTGGCCTCCCACCTGGCAGAGCGGAATGCCAACCAGGCCGAGGAGCTCTGGGTTCCGAAAGGTCATGGCGCACTTTGTTAACCAAATTGATTTCCAAGTCTTAAAACAACTCTTTCTAAAGGAGGTCACTGAGCAGACCTGGGAAGGCGCTCAAAGTAGGCCAGGCTGACGTCGTACTGGGATGGCCAAGGCGCCACTCAGACAGAGGGCACCAGATGCCCCTTCCCACCTGTCCACTCACCCAGCCCAGGTGGGAGCCGCTCCCCCAGCTTCTGACCCCTGGCCCCTGCTCTGTGGGTGCGGGCGCCACGTCACCTGCACCAGGAAGCGCAGGACTGCTCCCTGGTTTTCTTTTTGGCTCACGGGTCTCTTTAAGAATCTGGAGAGCTACAAACCCTCCTGCCAGGAAGGGACACAAACGACCTCTTGCCGTTGAACTTCAAGAGCCTTAGGACTGCTGAGGAGGGACCCTGGGCAGCCAGCTCCTCTGGGGAGGCGGGTTCCCCAGTACTCCAACCCCTCGGTCCCTCTCGAACGATTTCTGCGTCTCCTGATCGGGTCCCTGACGCTCAGGTGAATCTGGGCCCAGTCCCTGTACTGGTCCCACACTGGTCAGTGTGGCCCACAGGAGGAGCCCGGTGCCCCCGGGCGGGGGGTGCCACTTACCACACTGTCGCCGGTGTCGGGAACTGGCACCGTCTTCACCACCAAATCCACCCCTGCTGTCTGCCAAGGAAGACCCAGGACATGGGCGTCAGGGGCCCCGTGGAGATGCAGGAAGACCCAAGAACCCCACACGGGGGGACGTCCCCCGCCGGGTGCTTGTGCCCCGGAGGAGAAGGGCCACGAGTACAGGAGTCGGCCCCTCCTCCCTGCCCACGAGCGAGCTGCTGGTGGGGGTGGCGTGCTGTCCTCTGGCAGGCCTCTCTGCAGGCCGCTCCCTGGGCTGTGGGCCCCTGCTCACCAGGGTGTAGTTCTGGAAGTGCACCCCATCGCTGCGGAAGAGCTGCGCCAGGGCCGTCTTGCCCACCGTCGGGTCTCCTGAGCCAGAGCAGAGGAGAAGTGTCACTCGGGTCCCATCAGAACTGAGGACCCCTGCCCCAGAACTGCACCGAGTTTCCAGGGCAAAAGTCCTCGGCTCTCAGGGAGCCCGCGAGGCCCCAGGCAGGGCAACGAGACGATGCAACCAGCTTCGAGACCCAAGAGGGCCGGGGCTCCTCTCCGTGCGGCTAAGGACGCTCTCATCCTAAAGAACGGCCCAGGAGGGGACAGAAGGCCCCGGCCCAGAAGTCACTGTCCTCCAGTGAGACACACCCGGGGAACCCGTCACTTTCCAACTTGAATTCACACGGAAGTCCCTCTGGAGGAGCAGAGAGCGGGCGACTGGAGCCCAGGGGACTCCTGGACCTGGTGCGCATTGGGGATCAAGAGGCCCGAGCTGCGTTACCGTCCTGGAAGCCACTGCCGAGGGACACCCTGCAGCCCACCCTGGCGGGCACCTTCCGGGCCTCTCCACAACCCGCCTGCAGCGGTGGCCACTGCTCCGCGGGTCAGTCCCTGTCGCGGTTCCTAGCCTGCGGTCTGAACCTCTCCAGAGCCCAGCGCTCCTCGTGCCGCCTGTATGCCCCTCTGCCCACGCCCGCCCGGCCTCCTGTGACGCCAGGTGTCCTGTGGGCAGACTCCAGCCCTGACAGGACCGGTCTCTGCTTCCCGATCCTCAGCAAAATGTCCGGGGCACCTGTCCCTCTGACTTGCCCCTCTGGGCTCCTGGCTGTACCTCCGCCGCCCCTCCACAGCCACACTGCTCGCCCAGCTCCTCGACGCTCGTCTTTCCCACCCGGATCTTCTCTTCTGAGACGATCATGACTTCTCGTGGCCTTTCCTGCCGTGAGCTCTGCGCCTGCGAGTGGAGCGCTGCTCAGGGCTGGCTTTCCCATCTGCCACTTCTTAGCCGGGACCGACCTGCCCTGCGCTCCCCTCATGGACCCAGGCACACGCATTCCTTCCTTCCCACCCGGTGCCCTGCAGCATCCACCTCACCCGACAGAGGAAGACACTGAGGCTCAGAGAAGCTGGGTGACCTGCCTAGGGTTCCAACACCGTGCTCCCTCCTCCAGGCCCGGTCCATCAGCGCAGCCCTCCAGGACACCTGGACGCCACAGCCTGGACTGCCACGGGCCCCCACCTGTCCCAGAGCACGTCACTTTCCTCCCTTGCACCTTGATGCGGACACCCTCCAACTCCACTTCTGCTCCTGAATCCAGTTGGGAAGTGGCTCTTCCTGCTGTGGACTCCCCACAGACCGTCTCTGGCCGTCGGCCAGTCACCAGCACTCAGGGGAGGCCTCCGGGGTGGGCTTGAGGAGGCGGGGAGCACACAGAGCAGCAGCATGGCCAGCGCCCGCCCGGACAGAGCGTCTGAGGAGCATCGGGGTCCAGCCAGCGGCCGGTCAGCGTGGGGGCCTCCCGGGGGCCAATGGCTAAGCCCGGAGGACCAGGTGGGCGGCAGGACTGAGCCCGCAGGATGGGATGCCAGGCCACCGACCTCCTAACTGCCAGGCCCAGGGGCCTCTCTTCAGCGCTTGTCCTTCATGTCTTGGAGGGCGGGGCAGCCTGAAGTGTCCCTTCTTCCCGAGCCTGTCCCCTGGCCTTGGTGACCCACACAGGCTGCTCCTCCGCCTCCCAGATGCAACCACTGCGTGGCGGACCCTCGCCTGGAGCACCTTCTGTTCCCACCTGGACCCCGCTCGGGCGGTCCCGGGTTCCAGGGGTGGTCAGCGCAGACCCCGCGGGCAGTCTGGAGCTGGTTCGGTTGCTCCGGCCCTGACGCAGGGCAGAGCTCTTTCGCGTGGGGGACGGGCCCAGTGACCTGATGCTGGTGACTCCTGGGTGCCCGGTCAGCCGGCAGCCCCTCCTCGGAGGCCGCCTCCCAGCTCAGGGGTCCGTCTCTGGGTTTCCAGCAGCCCGGGGTCCACGGCCCGGGTCCTCCAGCTTCTCCGGCCCCCATCTGAGGAACAGGCCCATTATAAAATCTCCCACTAAAGGCCACGCTGTTCGTGACGGCCGGCCGTGGGTGGTAGTGCTGCCCAAGGGCCTCCCGCCCTGGTCCTCCTCGCTCCGGCCCGGCCTGGCCCGACAGGCGGGTCCTTCACAGGATTTCTCTGTGGCTCTTCCTCCTTTCTTTCTGTGGGCTGGGAACCCAACCCCGGGCCTTGTGCGTGCTGGGCGGGGGCTCCGCCACCGAGCCGCCCCCCGCCCCAAGGTCCCTTCCAATTCCTTCCAACGGCCCCTTCCACAGGAACTGCTCTCTCCATGCCTGTTCTCTGGTCCCTCGCATCCCTCAAGGCCACTCCTGCCCACCCAAGTCCAGATCTGCCGCTCCCTCCAGGAAAGGCTAGCTGGTGGCTTCCTCTCTGGCCTGAGGTCACCTCTCCTCCTTGTCTTCAGCAGGTGGTGCCCTGGCTCAGTGCAGTAGCACCTGACGTCAGGACTACCTTCCAGCGAGGCACGACGATCCTCCCACACCCAGGACAAGCGGGGTCCCATGGCACTTAAGGGCACAGTGACCCACAGTATTTAGTGGCAGACTCAGGCTCCATCACATACTAGCTGGGTGACGTCAGGTCAGTCACTTAACCTCTCCCGCCATAGTTGCTACATCTGTAGATCAGATAACAACACCCACGTCATAGACCGTTAAGGAGATTTAATGAATTCATATACATGGTGCCTACGTATGGTGATGGCTATTTGTTTTAACCAAATAAATTATAGATAAGTGTCAAGGGTGGTTCCCCCTCTCCGTCTGAACAGAGCAAGCAGCACTGTGTTCTGAGGTACTTGGCCGGCGCCTGCACTCAAAGGCAGTCTGTGTCGTAGCACAACCTCTGCCCTCCTCAGCCCCTCCTGGAGTGTGGGGCCGGCTGACCCACCTTTGCCTTCCCACTGCACTTTGCGTGGTGACTCACACATAGTAGATGTTCAATAAATATCTGTTGAGTGAATATTAGGTCCCTTGACGACTAGTTTTGTGAAACCAAAAAATGTGGGCCTACAAGGGGTGAAAGTAAAAATAAAACCGGTGAGGGGTGCTGTGAGGATCTGGGGGTGCTGCCATGGCAAGCTGACGCACTGGGCTGAGGTCTGTGGTCCCTGGAGACTTCCGAGAAGAGATGCCCTTGAGCCCTTGAAAGAAGGCTGCAGACACTGGGCCAGGCGGAGTTCAGGGGCCACTGACCTGGTCATGACTGCAATCGGGTGAAACAGGTACCCAAGAGAGTTGGGGGAAAGAAGGGCTACAAGGAACAAGCCTCAGCCCAGTGTAGCCTGGGTACGAACAAAGCCCTGGGTCTGGACCCAGGCTCTGAACCATGCAGCTCTGCTGCTGCTGGCTGTGTGACTCAGGGCAAGTGGTCTCCCCTCTCTGAGCCTCATTTGCCTCATCTGTCAATGAGAACCACAGAAGTACCAAGCCCATGGGGTTGCTGTGAGGACTCAGTGAGGCCAGTAATGAGGGTCTAGCGCAGTGCCCCACGCAAGCAGCAGTCAGGAGCCAGCTCCAGGAAGGAAGCTCAATTAAAAAAGAATGAGAAACATCACTCAGAGAGAGAGAGAGGCCGTTGTTGTTTTGTTTTGTTATTTTGTTTTGTTGTTGTTCTTTTAAATCTAACTTTAGGGGAAAAAAAAAAAAAAAAACAGTCCCACATTATCCATGAGAGACTGAAGCTTAAGGAAACAGTCCAACATGCCGGCCGCCGGGTAGAGAGCAGCCAGAAGGCTTTTGTTATCCAATATCGCCTCCCCTGGCGCTCTGGGCACTAGAGTCTCTGGGGAACCATTGGTTTCTTTTGCTCCAGTCTGATCTGAATCACGGCTGTCAGTCATCTTTCTGTGTGACCCTTTTATTTTCAAGTTAGAAAGTCATTAAATATACTATCCTCTACTTCCAGCCTGAGAGAGAGGAGTCAAAAGGAATCTTTTCTTCACAGAATTTCTCACCACTTCTTAGGGAGGCCTGCAAGGTCACGGGTCTCAACAGTCACACTCCTTCAGGGACTTGGGTGTGGAAATCCTGGGTATGACCTTCGCTAGGTAAGATCAGGGAAAATCAGAACCTACCCGAGGGTGCTACAGAGACAGGATTGAAGGGAAAACACGTGTCTGGCGTACAGCAAGGACTCAGTAAAACGCACGTGTTCTGCCTCTACCAACATACAATCTAAGCAACTGCTTCCTAAACGTGCAGACCGATTCAGGGAAAACACTACAATGTGACTGCCACAGATCCATTCATTCTACAAGTATTTATTGAGTACCTACTATGTTCCGGGCATTTTTGCTCGCTGTTTGTAGGTCAGTCAATGAAACAGATTCCTGCTTTGCTGGGACTCAATGTTTATATCCTCCTGAAAGTGGGCGGCAGGTAGTCAACTAACAGGTGCCTCTGCACACTCTGCCCCCTGTACTGTAAGCCCTCTTACCAGAGGAGTGGGATCAGGAAAATAATCCTATGTGTGAAGAATACCAAAGTCAGTGATTCCTAACTTTGAGGTACAGCAAATGTTTAGTTGAAGCGCCGAGGGTTTGCTTAGCCTGATTGTCTGCGCCTCCGGAGTACAGGTCAGCGGGCGAAGGCGGAGTCGGAAGGGCAGGGAGCAGGGGCTCAGAAAGAGAATTCTTCCCCGCCCGACGGAATCTGCTCTGTCGGAATCGCAGCCGCCGCCACGGGGAGAGGGTGGACACTTCACGTGAACCAACGCTCCCGGAGAATTACGAAGCCCGCGGACTCCGGAGACCGCGGAAGTCGGCGCGGGTTTCCAGACTCACCTGCCAGGATGCATTTGGCTGCCAGCTTCACCATGGTAACCACCACTACCACCGACCCGGAGTGAAGAGCAGCTGCTAGAGGCGTCGGAGGGTGGGTTTCGCGGTCTGGGCGGTGGAAGCGGGGAGGGCTGGTCCCCTGCGCCCGTGGCCCGGTGGGGACCCGGCGGGATGGGGCCTGGACCTCCTGGGCGGGGCTGGGAGACCGAGAGCTAGGGTGGGAGGGAGCAGGACTCCAGAGGGGTCCCGGATCGGGGCAGTATGACAAGAGCAGGCGGGACGATGAGGATCCCGCTGCCCCTCTGCTCAGGCCGCGGCCGTGGAGTCGGGGACAAACACACTCGACGACCCCCGGGTCCCAAGCACCAAGCGAAAAGCCCTCGCTTGGCAACCACCGTCCGCTGCCCCGCCCCCTCCTCCAGGCGGCCCCCGATTGGCTGCTGCCAAAAGCTCCCACCCCCAATGTCCCGCTGAGACCCAGTAGGAGGAAGGGGCGGGGCTTACCTTCTTTTCTAGAGAGACAATTCGCAGCGGTATCTGTTCTTCCACTTCACGCCGCTTGGCAAGTGGTTTTAAATGATGTCAATCACTGTCATCTCCCGCTCCCGCGCAGAAGCGTCACGGGAAAAGCAGCTTCAACGTGAGTAGCAGAGGCGGTGATAAAAGAAACTTTCTGATTGGCCAGAGGGTGGCTTGGACTATGTTCGTGAGGCCTGGGGATTCGTCACACTCCCCTGCCTCCTGGAAATGGTTTCGTCCAAGAGGGGCCGGTCGGCTTGCGGCAGTCTGGAGCGGCGCCTGCGCAGTAGAGGAAGCCGCAGTGGCGGGAGCCGGGCTTTGCTTTGGTTCTTGCTGCTGGTCGGTTTCCCGCGTTCCGCGGAGAGCGGTCGCGCAGCCACAAATCCGGTCCTCGCCCCGCATCCCGAAGAGCAGCCCCGTTTTTAAAGCCCAAGCATGTTATGCGCCTTAAAATCTGAAACAGGGGAGGGAGGAGTGGGGAAAGGTGGAGATCAGTGAGTGCCTCGCTGTTGCCCGACTGGGAGCGGGAAGTTCTGTTGCGCTGCAGCACAGTGGGCGGATACAGCCCGTGCGGACAATGCCCTGCGCCTTCAGAAAGCTAGAGGAAAGGGTGTGAAAGTTCTTACCATAAAGAAACAGAGAGAGAGATGCGTTCACCCTGGTTTAGCATTGCACAATGTACGCAGACCTGCATGGAAACCGCACAGGGCGCCCCGTGAATATGTATAATTTTATGTTATTCTTTATCATTAAAAATAAATGCAAACCAAAAAATAAAAATACGAAAGTTTTTAAAGCGATGCCTGTGAACAGAAGGGACAACGTGTGGACTTTGCAGAGGGGAGCGGGGTCACCCAGGGATTTGAACTTGGACTTTCCTTAGTCCCTTTCTTCCCTTGAGAATGCACCCCATGCCCAATGTTGCATGAGAGGGTGCAGTCCACCATGCTGCTGGCCATGCAGGAAGGCTCTCAATATTAGCTGACCTTCCTGGGGGAGTTGCTTTGCCATCAGGTGGACAGAGACCAAGTCACCCCTGAGTCTCTACAGATGGGCCAAGTTAGAACCCACCTGGTGGGGGTGGGAGGTGGGGATGAGAGAGAAAGCATGTGAGCTTCAGGACACCAGAGGTGTGCACCAGGTCATCGCCCAGTGATGAGTGAGGAGGAACTGACCTGGACAGATTCCCTGTATCATCCACCACTCGTTCTCACTCTCCCTGGGCCCCAGGCCCTTGAATGGCCAATGCTGAAAGGGAAGAACAGCCCATGGGTGTGGATGCCTGCTGCCCCCAGTTAGCTTGCAGATAGCTGAGTGTGTGTGTGTGTGTGTGCGCGCGCGCACACACGTGGTGGGCACACACACACACACACACACATGGCCACGAAGGGTCCAGCCCTGGGTGCAGGGTTGAAGCACAGCGCAGGTTGGCATTTTCTTTCCTGAGACCTGTTCCTGCTTTACTTCATGCTAGTTCCTCTCAGATCCCCAACCCTGGGTGAGCAGAGCGCTGCTGCCTGGTCCCCGACTCTGCCCTCCTCCAGGACAGCCTGTTCTGCCAGTGACCCCCTCGCTTCCTGAGTGCACCACCCTTCAGAGGCAGCTGGGGTAGTGACACCCTGGGCTCCCCCTGAGGACCGCCTCTGGGGCCCTGCCCTTAGCCCCTTCTCTGCAAGGGGGTGAGGGTGACTCCTCCCTCCAGGGCCCGTCCTCCTGGTCATACCCACTCCTCCCTTTTGGTGTCAGCGCCATTGTAGGGGCATTTGGATATTTCCAGAGAGAGAAAATTGTCCCCAGGGTCTTCTGTGCATTCTTGATGACAGCTGCGTGACTGAAAGCCACGGGGTTGAAGATGGTCTGAGAGTTTTGGAGCAGGGAGGGCTCCTGAGCAATTCCTGCCCCCTCCCCCACCGAGCTCCAGTAGCCACAGCTGTGACGTTTGCCAGGAATGCACTGTGAGCCTCCAAGGGTGGTCAAGAGCTAATTAATCTAATAGTCACAATCAAAACCGACACTCCCCCAACCCCCCCCGCGAGGCCTGTATCGTTGGATAGGTGGGGAGGCTAAGGCCCACGGGAGGTCACCTTCATGCCAAGGGGGCTGGGACTTGAACGTGGGTAGTGTGTCCACCCAGCATGCCTCCCCCGACACTCTGGCGCTTCCCCTCCTCCTAGAGGGCCAAGGTTCCCCGGGTTCTGCAGTCATAACTCCCTGTGATTGAGCATTACATGCCAGGCACGTGCCAAGCCCTTCACATCCTCTCCTTTGACGTCACAACTCTGGCAAGCGGAGGTTACTACTGTAATTGAACAGGCAAGGACACTGAGGGCAGGAGAGAGCCCGAGTCACGCGACAAGTCGGCCAGAACCAGGACGGGAACCCAGCCCAGGCCTCTGACCCTTGTTTTCTACTCCAGGTTCATCCACAAGCCTCCCTGGGCCGGGCGCTGGGCTGGTGCCGGGGCCACTGAAGTGAGCGCCGCGGGTTGCCGGCCTCGCTCCGGCCTGTGTGGCCCGCGTGGGGATGTGGGCCTGGATTGCAGGACACTGGCTTTTTTAGAGGGGCCAGGAATCAGGGCTTTTCTGTGAAATCCCCGGCCCTTGAGGTTCGGCAATGAACTTAGATTGGAAGCACTCGAGCAGCCGTGGAGATGGCTGATGGCCGACGCGGTCGGGGGCTGTGACCTCTGGTCAAGAAAGGAAGAGAAACGTGGGACGTCACAACAAAACTCGGACCGGAGAGGACACTGGATCCCTGTGCCTCAAGGAGCACGCCGCCCGCGATGGCCAAGAGGAAGCCGGGGCAGGCTGAGGAAGGTGGGCTGAACTGAGCCAGGGCTTCGGGTAAGTGGGGCAGAGACAGCTGCTGACAAGCGGCTCGGGCTCCGGGGACCATCACCGCGGGTAGGCGACTCCCGACAGCCTGGCAGCAGTAGGCGCAGGAGCTGCGGCTTGGTCCCAGTGACATGGCCATATTCCAAGCCTGGGCCTGTGACGCCCACTGCAGGGCCCAGGTCCTCCCGCCACCTCACGGCCACAGCCAGAGTCCTCCCTCTGCTTGGCCCCACCAGGGCCACCACTTCCAGGGGGGACAGCAGCTTTCTTGGTCAGAAATCAGTCCTTTGGGTAAAGAAGAGGCCTGGGGAGGGGGACTGTGGGAAAGGCCCCAGCTCTTCTGGGAAGCCCTGATTTACAGCCCTCAGGTCCCGAGAGCCTGGGGTGGTGGGTGGGGCGCGAGTTCTGCTTTACAGTTTGCCACAGGGCACCGGGTCACCTCTGGAGCGCGGTGCTGGACGTGATCCTGCTGTCGCTTTGCCCCCATTCGCCTGGGCCTGGGCGTTTCCGTCTCTGCCCATACAGTGCTTGGCCGTGGCCATTTCGCTAAAGGGCAGAGAGCTGGAGACTGACTCACCTTCCGTGTGCCTGGAATGCAAAGTGGCCGGAGCCCTGGCCCAGGACGGACACTGCCGTGCGCGGATCCCGTCAGCAGGGGGCAGCAGCAGCCGGGAAAAGGACGGAGGCAGGAGAGCGCCCAGGGCCGCAGCCCTTTGGATTTATTTTGCATCTGCTTTTATTCAAGGCTGAGGAAATCATCTTTTCAGAGACCCCGGGGATCGTCGCAGGAAGCCAAGAGTTGCTTTTCCAGAACATTCCGTGTTTAGCATCTCCTGCCCATTGGCTCGGCCAGTAGAGAACTGGGAAGTTGGCAGAGGGCAGGTAACTCACCTGAGCATGGCCCTGGGAGGACGTGCTCCAGTCCCGGCCCAGAGCCTGCTGATGTCCCTCCCTGGTCCTTTTCTGCACTCTGTGCATAAAGCTTGTGTCACGGGGCTTGAGAATGGGACAAATGACTCCCGCAGCTCAGCCTGAACCAAGCCAGATGCTACTGAGGCAAATGAGGCTGCTCCCTGGTGCTCCACATCCCTTCCCCCTTTCCAGCCCCTACCTACATAAGACCCTGGAGCCAGAGGACAAAAAGCCCTCCCCAGACTGGCCCTCCTGCAACTGCCTGGGCCCATTTGAGCTTGTCCCCAGCCCCCTAAAGCCTTAACAGCCCAGGCTGGGTGTGATGGCGACGCCTATAATCCCAGTTGCTAAGGAGGCTGAGGCAGGAGGATCGAAAGTTTGAGGCCAGCCTCAGTAACTTAGTGAGTCTCAAAATAAAAATTGAAAAAGACCAAGGATGCAGCCTAGTGGTAGGGCACCCACCTGTTCCACCTCCAGTACCAAAGAAAGAAAGAACCCCAATAATCTAGGTTTCTTCTCCTTCCCTCACAGAGCCAAGCTGCACATCCCCCTCTGCATTTTGCTTTTGGGGGACCCCATGCCCAGCACACAAAGTGCCCTTTGTTATTTTATTATGGCTGAGTTGTTCTATTCCAGAGCAGGATCTCTCTAAATCTTTTCACATTTCCACCCAAAATCCCAGTCTCCCTCCTGGTCTTGGGGTGAAGTCCACCTTCCTCGTGGGGTTGCCAGTGGGTGGCGGGGGAAGGAGGTGTTCCCACCACTCTGTGCCACTCTCTGTGCACAGGCAGCAGGCTTCCTGGGACCTGCAAACCTGACCTGCCTATTCTGCCTCAGGGCCTTTGCCCCTTCTGTCCCCTTTAAACCCACTGAAGTCCTAATATGCTTTTCTCAGCTCAAATATCACCCGCTCTGTGTGTCCCATATGTGTCATGAAGGCAGTGACCGCATCTCTGGTTACTGGCAGAGTGCCTACTGGTTAAGGAATAGGTTCTAGAGCCAAAGCCTTCGGACTCTAATCCTACCTGTGTGACCTTGGGCAGCTCACCACACCTCTCTGTTTCAGTTTCTTCCCACATGGAATGGGAGCACTAATCCATCCTTTGTCCTGGGGTTGAGATGAGGGTTGAATGTCTGGCCAGCACATGTCTCC